GGTAATCCATAGACATCTCCTGCAAACGATGAATTAAGCACATGGAGATCGAAAAGCCAAATGTAATGATGCTGATTGTTGTTGATGCAGCTAATGTTCCATGATGCTGTAAGTGCTGTCTAGGTATTTCTGAAAAAAAAAAAAAAAACACTTCCCAAATCTTTCTACAGTGTAGTAGCCCTTTTAATTTGGATCATTTTACCTGGTTTTGCTTTGGGAAGCCTGCACTGCCAAACGAAACAGCCCGTCATTACAAAGGAGAGAAGCAGAAAGAAAACCATTCCTAACTTTGTCCATTTCACTTTCATCTCTGCAGTCTGGTGGACTCCTTTTCTGGCAGGCTTAATTAGAAAGGACAGTTTCACAGACACAACCTTCTGAATGTTATATAAGGGCTAGTCACATCACATATATTGCACATACATAATGTATATTTAATCTTTAACAAGAATCATTAAAAAAATTCCACCAATCACTGTAATATTTTATATAAGCATGATAAAAAAATTTAATAGCATTGTGTACTGCTCATGACATTGATTCCAGTGTATTTTCTAGTGTGGTGTAATATTCTCAGGATAAATGATAAGATGTCTTACCACAGGGTTTACTCCTTTAAGACAAAATCAGAGTTCCGTATGATCCTGCCACAACTGTTATGCCTATCCATGCAGAGGCTTGTTTTAAAAAAACTAAACAAAAAAACATTCAAAGTGGAATTCCATTAAAGCTGATAACATAGAGACATAACCAAAGCTTATCAACCACTCGCCAGCCATGCTTTAATCTTCACGATAACCTATGCACCGATTTCTCAGCATCCTCTCGGCCAACTGCAGGCCTGCACGTCATAATCTGAAGACATCCTTCTTTAAAGCCTCACTCCTGATCTTTACCCATACATTCTGTTCATTCAGTTTAAACTTTATATTTTATGTTTTTTATTTTAAATATATATTTTTTCATTTTAACTCATAACTTTTCTTAGTTTAAACTTTTCAACAATCCTAAACTTTCTTTCTTTCTTTCTTTCTTTCTTTCTTTCTTTCTTTCTCCAATATGATGTCAGAATTATTTTAGTTTAATTTTTAAACGAAATGATTAATATTAGATTGTAAATCACATTTACAAATCCATTCTATTCATTCAGTTTATATTTTATATAATTTTTAGATATATTATTTGAAAACTTACTAACTTTACTCATAACATTTATAACATTTCTGTTTAAACTTTTTTTTTTAAATCCTAAAAATCCTTTCTGCTATTGATTGAGTGATTGATATAATATAATATAATATAATATAATATAATATAATATAGTATAATATGATATGATATGATATGATATATAATATAATATAATATAATAATGTCATTTTTTGTTTAATTAAAAAAAAAAAGATTTTTAATGTAAAATGCTGTTAATTAATTACGCAGAACACCATTTGGACAATATCTATTTGTCTTAATAGATTAGTATGAAATACTGTTATTTATCTTATTTTGAGAAATTAGTTTTATATATTTCATATATCATCATATTATTTCTTACAAAAAAACATTTGTTACAGGCCAAATACCACATTGTGTTTCATGAAACACAATATGATTTAATGGCTGAACATGCAGATAATCTTGCTTTTTTTTTCAACAGTTGTCACAAGAGGGCAGCAAACTATATTGTATTATTTTATACCTGTTTTGTTTTTCCCTAAATCCCCATTAGAGAGTGACCCGCAACAGTCAGAATGACTTGATTCAAAATAAATATTTGCAAATATTTGAGAAAAAACTAGCATATGCCTTTATAAAATAATTTAATCGCCTTGTTGACACAATATCAAGCATTGCTTGCGTGCCTGGGAGCCAGTTCAATAATGAATCAGGCATGAAGTGGATATCAGTGCCGTAAAAAGAGAATTATTGACTGGTAGCCATTTGCTCGACTGAACTACTTATTTGATCTTGTCCTCCTGTTTTTGAAGCGTGGCAGTGAGCTGCTCCCCAGATCCCTGCCCTCGGGCTCCATGTCTAAACCGATAGTGAGATCAATACCATCAGCCTGTCTGCACAAGCTGTGACTGCTTGATGGTGGTTTTATTGTGCCCAAACGATCCCATATCTAATAACATAAACATATGTCAACCTGTTAATCAGACCTGACAGAATCCATTGTGTGACACCAAAATGTAGTAGCACGAGATGGGGGAAGAGTTTATGCACTGCCTGTTAGCTACCCAGACCATTATATTATTTTCATTACTCCATTTGCTTATTCTTGTTCTTTCTTTATACATTCTTTGAGCCCACGCCACTCCTTGATGACTTTCCCTAATATTGAAGACTTGGGGTGCTGTCAACTGATACCCTCCGACTATTTCCGGAGCCTAATTCACAGAGGACCATGTGCATGCTCCAGATATTAAATTACTCGTGAAATATTTGCTCATCCTCCAGGCCTTGTTCATCTTAACAGAAAACTCTGCTAAGTCCTGGAAATGTCAAAGAGAGCAGATCTGAGTCACCTCTGTGAGCAAGGTCAATTTTTCCAATTTAGAGCAGCAGGATTAGAAAGCCAGACCCGTATCAGGACGTGTTACTATCAGAAGCCGTCAAAATGGCACAGTGGGGTGTCATGTTGGTTTCTACACTCACAAAAGAGAGTATTTTGTGGGTCTGTGCTCTCATGGGAGAGTTTGGAGCAAGACGCACTGACCCTCTTTAAGGGTCGCTGACCTTCTTTGAGCTTGTTTAGTTTCAGACTTTAGTGCTGAATCACTGATACAAACAGTAATGTGATTGTATTGATAATTCAGAACTTTACATTTGTACAGGTATTATTAAATATTTGTATTAAATATTGTATTTATATTCATATTTTTAATTTTGGTAAATGTGTTGAAAAATTTCATTCTCTATTTTTGTATTCTACATTTATATGTGTATGTATTTTTTATTCAAATATGCATTATTGAATATTTTCTAAATAAATATATTTATATTATTATATTAAATATATTTGTATTTTTTAAGTAAATATCATTACATCTGAAATATGTTAATATATTTTATTCTAAATATTTTAGAATATATATGAATATGAATGTATATAAATTATAAATACATATTTTAAATATTTTAATATATATTTAAATATGGAAGTGTTCAGCTAGTAGTAAACTGGCTCATCTCCATGCTATGACTGCTATGACTGAACACTGGAGCCTGACAGACACATGGTCACTTCCCAAAATAACCCAGTCATCCCTGACACAGATGAGTGGAAGTAAAGAGAAGATACTGTAGGCATGTTTCCTTGTGACCAAAAAAAAAAAAAAAATGAAATGACAATTTCCATAAAGCCCAGTGAGATGTAATTAATTCAAATTATTAAGCAGAATTAAACATTTTAGTCACCATTCAGGACAAAAAATAAGCTATTTTTCAGTATTATGAATTTAGAGTTTCCATGGAAACGACCCCTGGATTCTCCAGTCTGCCGTTTTGCAATCCTCACTCATTTTGAGACTGAATTATCCTAGATTCCTTTATGTCAGTTCCATATTCTTCTGCTCTATTTCCTCCCTCTCTCGCTCTCTCTCTTTCCCTAACTCTCCGTCTCTCTCTTTCCTGAGGTCTTTCCCTCTCTTGCTCTTGCTAAGAGCTTTGTTGTGTGCCGTTAGGAAATTGACAGAAATGTGTATAATCATGCTCTATTTTTAATGAGTCATTATGATTTTCCTCCAAGTAAATGTGCAGTACAAAACTGTCTTATGACTTCCGTGTCAGTGATTTACAATCTGTATTCATTTTATTTGCTCTTCCTGCAAAGATCTTTTGGACAGAATGTACTAAAAGTAAAATGTTTTTCTATAGTGAAAAAAATAACATTTTTAACTGCAACTATGCTAACAGCTCCACTATTCAGGATCTGAAATGATATCTGAAATCCAGTGATACACTAGGTAAATTCACCGGGGGTACAATAATCCATGTATGAGGGCTGAAGTACTAATGGAGGTTCTCACAGGAGTTAAAAGATCACGAGTGGAGGTGTTGAGAAACGAGGCCATTTATCTTCTTCACACCAGCCCCTTGTGTGATCTGTCAGCTTTGTAATCTTCAAAACGATAAAATTGCAAGTGACTCAAGGGATTAGAGAACTATTTGATAGACGATCACATGCATTACTCTATCAGTTCACCCCCTCAACCCCCCTGCACCGAGATACATTTTTCCCCCAAACTCCAGGGGGCACTGTTGGTATAATATGAATTTATGGTGTCATTGATCAAACAAGTGAATTCCGGCCAAATTAATTGTCTTGTGCATCCAGTAGAAGAGTGCTGCTAATTTCAAATTTCGAAATGAATAATTATTTTGATTTAAGTGCCTTCACGGTGTCTTTTGTGTGACTGCCTACGTTATTTAGATATTAGTCATTTAATACTGATTAAATGACTAACCTTATAGACATTATCCTCCTGCCAGATGCTAACATGTACAGGGAAAAATATCAATAAATCCATAAAAATGTATTTTAATTTTTAAAATGCGGTTTAAATCTTAGTGTTCTAACAGCAATTTATTATTATTATTATTATTTTTTTAAATGTTCAGATAATCAGATATTTTTTTTTCAGTTTTAGGAATTTTGTTTGTTTATTTTTTGAAACATTTTTGTTTTAAGTATTGTTATTTAATTAAAAGTATTATTATTTAATTAAAATAATTGTATAATGAAAGTAAATTAATACATTTATATAATAATTTCCTTTAATTATACTTTATATTTTATCACATATAATATGATCTGATTTTATCACAATATTATAATATTAAATAATATAATATAGAGTATTATTATTGGTTTTATCTTGCAGACATTAGTAATTGTTGAATGTTGAGCATCACTCTCGTCGTACACTCATTCCTGCCCCCTCGTCTGCGTTTCATTGGTTTCGTCCAAACTTGCTTTAGTTCTTCCAGTCTGATGGGGTTTATTCGAGTGCTTGTGATCGTAGTGTGTTCACAGATGGCCTGCCGGACAAGTTTTCAATGAATATTCTAGGTCTTTACAGTCAAATGCCCAAATTCACGGCAATTATGGATATAATTCGTTTGTTATGGATAATACGGATTGTGTGGGCTGTTGAAGGTAAGAGCATGTGTCTGTGTCAAATGTGCGCGCTTTGAAATGTCTGTTACTTTTTACGCTACATGATGCTGATGATATTAATCAAATTAAGATGATACTTTTTTTGAATAAAGCCGCAGACACTAGTGTTTTACAGTCATGTCATATTATTTAAAGTTAAAGGCTTCCCTTTCCATTAAAGTGCACCGAGAACAGGTGCACTGCAACAGTCTGAGGGAATAAATGAGTTGAAATGGCTTTCATTTGGTCAACTGCTACTCTCCATTTACATCAACACAATATAAACGGTTCAATCACAGCAAAAGTTAAAGGGATTGTTCACCAAAAAATGAAATTCTTTCATTATTTACTTACCCTGTTGTTCCAAACCTGCACTACTTTCTTTATTTCTGTGTGACACAAAATAAGATGTAAGGCAGTCTACTCCATTCACTTTAATCAAAGTAAATGATGACTGAGGCTCATTCTGCCTTACATCTCCTTTTATGTTTCACAGAAGAAAGAAAGTCATAAAGATTTGGAACAGCACCAGGGTGTAAATGATGTCTCTTTAAGCAGCATTATCAAGTCTCTCTCGCAGAATGATCTTAAGTAACATTTGAGAACGTATAGGCTCAAACCTAGTGAGCTGTCTAGTAACTACACAGCATTTTCGGGTATTACAGACTAGTAAGAATGCAAATAGGTGCTTAATAGGTGCCCATAATGCTGTCTAGCTAGGTTTTGAAAGGCATGCTAGATGCTAGAGTAGTATTGTAAGTCAAAATGCCTTAAAAACATTTTAGTTCTTTCCATCGTACATTTTTTGTCTGTCATGCTCCAGTCTTTCTGTTAGTACATATGGGCCATTGTCTCAAATCTCCGCCTGGAGATCTGCATCAGCACCTCATCACCACCTGAGACCTTCAGAAGAGCTGCAAGGACATTCATCTTTTTTTTTTAAAACTTCATAGTGCAGTCTGTCATTAATATATTAAGAAAAACAGATGCTTAATTATGTCTGCAGACGTCCTTTGAAGTCATTTAGATTGTCATTAGAAGTCATTACATTCTCATGTTATATAGAGTGAGTCAGTGTGCTTCTAGAAGTTTTTCCTATACCCATTATTTCTTAGAGAAGGTCCTTGATGGCGGACCTGTTGCAACAAGACATGGGAGGAGAAACATTACAATAGTTACGCATTTCTTTTGAGTATGATTTTATAGATGATACCATCATGTTGTTCTTAATCACTTATTATACATTCTAAAAAATAAAGGTTCCAAAGGGGGGTTTGTGATGTCATAGAAGAACCATTTTGGGTTCCCCGAAGAATCTTTCAGTGAACAGTTCTTAAAAGAAGCATTTTTCTTTATCTGAATAATGTAAAGAACCTTGTAATGTGCAATGGAAAGTCATCCATGGAGGACGTTAAAGGTTCTTCATGGAACTATATAAAGAACTTTTATTTTTAAAGGGTTTATGAACGGTCTTTTTTAAATTATTTTGTTCTGTTCTCTGAGGTCCACTTATAATGTTATCAAGATTTTTACCTAGAAAAACATCATAATTCAGCAGTAATAGGCTATTTTCTGTCTTGTTTTGACCCCCTTCATCGGGACGCTCTGTTTGAATAGGCATGGTGGATTGTAGACTCGGAAGTAAATGCCCACTGATTGGCTAACAGTTGTGTATGTTTGACAGCCTACATCCTTCACAGATGGACGCTGCTGTGATTTAGGTTAAAATCGCATAAATACTCAGTACATATTAAACGATCTGTAATAACAGACAAAGCAATAGTGAGCACCTAATAAAATCAGTTACTCACACTTGTGTGGTTCGACATTACCGTTGGATCCAATAGAGTCGGCACAGCATCGTCTTTCAGTTTCAATCTTTCTGAAAATCCTGCGTCGAATTGTGCCTTGTTTGTAAACAAATCCGCCGAAAATTAAGTGAACAAAGGAATAAAGTTCATCCACTGATCACTCTTATGTCAAAAGATCAAGGGAATTTCAATTTCTCAGTTCATAACTCCTTTAAGAGTAGTGATTAATTAATATTTGTTACCTTTTGCATGGAAATTTCTCTGTGGAACATCATATGAGAGTTTTGCTTTGTCTAGTATGCTATTAAACCATCTGTTTAGAGATACACTACGAACAGTGCCTACATGATGCTTAGCCATACCCTGAAAACACACCATCCATTCCTGTTTGTTTGGACTGTCTGATGGATGTGAGGAGTAAAAGCTCATTTATCACACCTCAGAGCAGATACAGAGCTTGGGAGTGAAATAATTGTTTACTGCACCGAGACACGCATGTCGCATGACTTAGGCTGCGACTAAGTAAGGACATGGATATTTCCTCAAGTGAGTGAGGATGTCTCTGTGAATTAGACCCTGCTTTGACTAATCTAATGAATCCATCCTGTTTCAATTTTGTTCACTGGATTCTTAGTTTGCCCAAGGGCAGTGAGTAAATTATTTGCTGTAATGTGAAGAAAATACATGGCTGGACTGCCACTTTAGCTCCTGTTCTGTTTTGTTCTGTCAATCATGTTGCAAGCCATAATGACAGGACTGTGCAGGAAAAAGCCGACCCCCTCAGCTTTTGTAGAGAAAGTAGTGTGCATAAATTATAGTAGCAACGCATTTGTGATAATGCAAACCTCGCTAAACCACGCCCCCCTTGCCACAGCATTAGTGTCTATTTGTTCTGTTAGAAATACACTATTTATGGTTTTCACAGGATGCACTAGTGAATCTGACCCATACTCTAAATCACTACAGGGAATGGGTACATTTTTTTTTTTATTTGGTATGTTTTTAAGGTGCTATTAATTTATTCAAGAGTACATTAAAAATGCAATTCATACATATACAATGACTTGAATACACATCTTCAAGTTTAGTTCAGATTATAATGATATATTATATAATAATTATAAACTAAAACAAACAAAAAAATTGTTATTTGAAATAAAATAATAAATGTTAACTGAAATAAAATACATAACTTATTAACTTATTTTAGCTTGATGCTCAGGAAACATTTCTCATTTACCTTGATGTACTAAAATAAACTAAAACCGAAATAAAATTAATAAAATTATAGACTGAAATAAAAATTAGTAAATTTTATATAAAAATATTAATAAAAACTACCTCAATATTACTAGAATAACAATGCTCCCGACAAATTTAATGGTAATTGGGAATTATTATTATTATTATTATTACCTTGGGGAACAATTGTTTTAAATAAACAAACAAATAAATAAATAAATACATTTTAAGAAGTGTACTTACCTGTATTCAAGGTGTATTGAAAATGTAATTTTTTATATGACGGTTGCATTACATTTTAGTCTGGTATTTTATACAGTTATCCTTGAAATTGATAGTTTTCAAAGCCATTTGAAACCATTATGAATACACTGATGATGATAACCAGGTTTTTCCTTTTCTTTATTGTTGTGGACCCTCTTATATGTCATTGACTATAGATGTGGGAGATTTTTAACTTCCGCAGTTTTTCCGACCTTAACCCGAGTATGCAACCACCAGCTACTTTTTTTCCATACAAATACAGCAGCCATGTATCCCAGAAAGCACCTGGGGTCATGTGATGTGTGTCCTGCAGACCTCAGTACTTGCTGCACTCCCCCGTCCCTGTTTATTAGGACCAAGACCTGCCTCTGGCATCTGCGACATCTTTCCGAGCCTTTACATAAGCACGGCAAACCTGACCAATTTCAGTCATGCCAGACAGCGTCGGCTCTGTGGCCTGTCAGCTTTGCAGAGCGACAGACAGAACAAACTGTCTCTGAATCAATGAATTTATAGGTGATGGGAAACTGGGAGTTTCCATATGGCCTCTGATGAAATGACAAGATTTTGTCCACAGGCTTGTGAGGGGGTCAAAATGGTAAAATTATCAGGTATCCAATAGGGACTTGCCATCTGCTTGACAATTTAATTATCCATCTGTCTCTCTGTCTTGTTGAGTGATCATTTTGAATAAAATGAGGTGAAATGGATTGTACTCTTAATGTTAATTATTAGCCAGTTTGATGAGTGCCGTCATATTGATTTAAATTCATGCTATTTTTGAGTGCAGAGATGAGGGTACAAAACAGATTTGGTTTGTAAACACTCAGAATCTCATTTAACAAAATGTCAAAGTGTCAGCTGTTATCGATGAGCAATATCTCTCTAACTACCACACAATACGTGGGCAGACACAGTTCATTTTTTTAAATGGAGAGCAAGGAGGGTATAGTAGAGTTTAAAGTAGCAATCCTTCCATTTTATGGATGTTTTTGATGTTGTTTAGGACAAGGAAATGAGCAGCACACATAGGCCTGTCGCAATAATCAATATATCGACTTATCGCACAATATATGTACATGACCTCAATCATTTTTGGTGACGCAACATATCGCCCATAATATTTACTTAAAAATTAATGTCACCATGGTTTTTTTTGCATTCCACTTGTGCCTGTGTCTTTTGCAGCTTCTCGTACATAACGTGGTGTAGACATGAGGTGCTAGTTCAAATTTAAAAAAATGCTTCTACAAACAAAAGCTTTTAGGGGTTTGGAACGACATGGGGGTAAGTGATTAATGACAACATTTTCATTTTGGGGTGGAGTATCCCTTTAATACTGAAGTCCTCCAGTTTCATTTTTAATATAGTCGATAATTTAGACGCAAGATGGTACAAGTTGCATCTTTGTGAAACGAGAGTGCGCGTCTGCATTGTAATACAATTATCAGAGAAAAACTGACCAATCAGAATCAGGCATTTCAGAGCGCCATGTAATAAAGTTTGGTTAAACTGGGTAAATTTTTTTATTTATGAACTCATTTTTGACAGGATCTATTAAATTATTAGAAAATACAGAAATAAATTTGATTTATACATACAGTGACGTGAATGAATCTCAATGATGAGCATGGGGGAAGTCGTGGCCTAATGGTTAGAGAGTCGGACTCGTAACCCAAAGGT